AAATATCATCTTCAGGAGGACCCCTCCTTTGTACACCCTTATTGCTACTGGTACTAGATGGAATGAGATGAAAAACCAAGGTTTCTAATCATATTGTTTTTATTTAGCAGCTAAAATAACTTTTCCATTGCATTCTGATTTTGGCCCCTTAGCGAACTCCCTCTCCTTCTATATATGTTTCCTCTTAGGTTTTGCATAGGTCCTTGCAGAGAATATGGTGATATTCTATAACTGGTTTTCGGTATCTTTCCTGGGTGAAAGAGAAAGATTCTGAAGTGCTCGATCTTTTGAAAAGTAGAATGTCAACTAGGTTCTTCAGAAGACTCTTACTTACAATGTTTCAGAAAGAAAAGAGCAGTGAATTTTAGAAATTGTACTTGAAACAAGCGAGAGTTTGATCTCTTTACTAGTCCTGAAATCAGAATCTTGGGTCTGCTTTTCAAGCACTTGTGTACGTATCGTTTTAAGTGTAATCTTTAGTTTCAGGCCAAAAGAAAGCCAACAACCTTACTTTTAGTGGTTACTCTGCTTGTTGAAACAGAAAACTGAAAAGTATTAGAACTTTTGAGAATATGGACTTAGAAAGCTTTAACCTTTTGTTCAAGAAGAGCCTCTGGAATACTTTCTAAACTTTCTTATCAGCCAAGTGATGTCTATTGTTTCTTTCAAAACCTAACACGAAAACTTCATCCAGAAAGCTTTCCCTGGCAGATCCCACCTCTTACCTCATTTCCTATATTTTCCTCATTTTTTTCCCACATTATGTCATACTAATTGATGTGTCACTTGGTATTATGAATATTCAGTGTGTATGTGGTCAGTGTATGAATGAGGCTTTTCTTAATTCTTTGCCCTTTTTCTCCCTCTGGTCCCCATCTTATCAGGATTGGTGCATTCTCAGGACGTGTTAGGCCATTCAGAATGCCATGTGATCCGAAGAAATTGGCTGCTCTTTCTCTCTCTCTCTCAGAAATCATAACAGTCTCAACACACAGCCCGAGCCCCGTGCCCTGAACAGAGCTCGTCTTGATCCTTCGGTGCGTTCCTGGGCCAGCTCTCTAAACTGAGTGTCTGTGACTACGTTTATTAGCTCCGTAAAAGTTTAATGTTTATTGGCTTTCCACCAATCGTTTTTTTGAAACATCATGGAAAGTACTGAATTTTTATTTATTTGGTCAGAATTTTATTTCAAAGAAGAAGATAAGCAATTTTAGTTTTATGGGTTTTTTATTATTAGAGGTGATACAAAGGAGTAAATACCGCATAGCAAATGCTATACGAATGGAAACATTGCTGCTATTTTTATTACTTACTAATTTTTCAGATTGTTCTAGAATTAGATGTTCTTATTTTTTTTTTTACTTTGTTTGCTGTACTTTCCATAATTTAGCTAAACACATCCTGTCCCATATCTGTATCTCTATGAACTTCAGCGCTGGAGAATGGTCCTTTGTTTAGGTCCAATTAGATGAAAAATCTACTCCACACCACATTAAAACATTTGCAGAACCCATTCCATTAATACTAGGATAATTTTAAGCCCTCACAGCTCTCCTGTAGCAGTGAGGTCCTTCATGCTGCCCACACTCTTGCTGCTTTCTGAATTAGTAATTAACTGCCATGAGTTGTACACATGTGCAGGCATCTGAAGCCTTTTTTCAGGTAGCTCAGGTTCTGCAGTCTGTGGCCTCCAAGAGAGAGACTTTTCATGCTTTGTTAATGACTAAGCCAAGATAAATAGATGTTCTTGGGCGGCGAGTAGCTGAACCTTTTTGACAGTTTTGACTCCTTTCTTTACTGCATTTGCATAGTTTGTTCCCTTCTTATTGTAGATCACGGGGAGCTGCTTCTTAGCCACGTCCCGAGTGGGATGGGCGAGAGGCTGGTATCTGGAGCATGTGCAGCGGGCCCCTCGCACAGTGCGGCTGCAAGTCCAGCTCTCTTGTTTCCAAGGTCGCTGGAAAGGTCGTTTCCAAGGTCAAGATTTTTGTTCCCTGGTACTGTTCATACAATGTGACCTTCATGTTTCTTGGTTTTCACCTTGTTCTCATCATTCGCAGACATTTAGTGAGTGCCCACTATGCCGGGCGTTCTTCTGGGAGAGGTTATTGTCATCGTTATTCTATCCTGGAGAGGACATAATCTTATCTTATGTTTTGTGTTTTCTCTGTCCTGCCTTAACAGTAGGGGATCCCCAAACTTGTGGTTGGGAGCTGCTTTGTTCCTCCTTAGGAGCTCCACAGATGGGAAGCTATAGCTGCCACACGCCCATCCCAGCTAGTGAGGGTGGGGGCCCAGCATGGCTGAAAGTTGCCTTCTCGTCCTCTGTGGGCACGAGGGAGGGATACCCTTTGCCGTCTTCCTGCAGTTGGCTCCTGCCTGGTGGGGCTGGCCTCTTTCCTTTTGTGCATCAGTTACCACAGCAGAGATGCAGCCCCATTTGGGGAATGCCGAAAGGAAGCACAGTGCTTTCCACCCACATCGCTGCTGGCATTTATGGCGAACGCCCTCAATAAGCTGAGGGTTAGTTAGCCTCTCCTTCTGGTTATTCTCTTCTTTCCTTCATTTTTTTTTTTCCCTCCCAGCATATGGGCTGGGCTGATTTTATATTCTGCTAGAATTCAGTGGCTGTCAGACAGCATGTATGACAGGCAGGCATCTTCATCCTGTTAGGGGGGACCCCCTCAGTGTCCTTGTTGATTGAAGTTGCCCAGACTGCCCATCGCAATGGAAGGGAAGGTGGAAACCTGAGAATTCTCCCCGTCCCTCTGGAAGCACTGGTCTGAAAGAGGTTGGAGGAAGTATGTGGGAGAAAGGATTTTCTCAAGCTTCTGGGCCTGATCCATGGCCAAATCTCACTGAAGAGTAAAAGGAAAAAAGTGACTGAGTCATGGCGGATGTATGACATGATCAGTGTATGTATCTACACCAACAAGCTGGTTTGGCCTCGATGGAGGGAAGGAGTGAAATGACTTTTTTGACAGTATCGTTTCCTTTTCCATTTTCTATCCCTTTAAATCACTACTGTAATACCTCTTTGGGTTTGGAGGTGCTTTAGAACTTCAGACAACTGCTTTATTATTTCCAGCAGAGCACAGCACCCAGAGTCCAGGAAAAATGAGGACAGACACAGAAGGAAGCAATTGGGGATGATGAAGTGAAACTTGAATGAGGGAGAATCTGCTGTTTCACTTTCTTCTTCTAGTAGCTGATCCCTAAGTTTTGCCCTTGGCATGTTAAAGCCCCTTTGGTCTCATGTGATGCATTCTCATCTGGATAAGCAGAGGTAAAACTCATCTTCTTCAAGACCCAAAGGAGCCTTTGTTGGAAGATGTAATGGTAGACTCAAAGCCAAAAAAGATATATAGGAATTAAGCAGGAAAAATGTTGTTTTCTGACCTCTCATAATAGTGGGAGACAGGAAGAGGAATTGTATCACTCAGGTCTTAGTTGCAGACAGCAGATTCCACCCTGAGCCCATTTCACCAGGAAGGGGTTTGATAAGAGAGATTTGAGAGCTTATGGTCTCCTCAGAATAGCTAGAGAAACAGCTGAAGTTCCAGGAACAACACCCAGACCACATCACACAACTGGCCCAGTGAGATCTGCTGCCACATCTGTCCCCAGCACCACCTGCACCTGCCAAACAGGTGCTCTTTACCCATCTGCCTCTTCCCATGTCCTCTTTCCAAATCCACCTCGTGTAGGTGTGTCAGATGATGAAACCAGGTCCTGAGCCCACACCCTAATAGCAAAGGAGGTTGAGAAATGTAGTTCCCATGGATTCTGTACTAGAAAAGTGGGATTCACAATGTGGGAAAGTATCAAAATGTGGCGGTGTGGAAGGGTTTAGGGCAGCCACAAATTCAGATGCTCCTTACAAGACTACCTTAGAAAATACAGCACACAAGTTCCTGATGATATGAGTTAACAGTAAAATTGTAATCATCAACTGCAAAAAATTTTCAAATAATTCTGGAAGACAAGTTATTTTGTGACTTTATCGGCTGCGGGACTTGTGGTTGTCTTATCGCGATTCTACATATTTCTCCTTGATTTACTTTCTTACGTTGGTTATTTTTTTAGTTTCTGACGTGTTCCTCTGCTTACTATCCATGACATGGTAGCAAGATTCTATGAGATTAGGCTATCAAGAGAGGAAGCGTTTAAAAATGGTTCGTCTAAGTCTTCATGAAGTCATATTCTTTTGCAGAGGTCACTGAGATTTCTAGATTTTGTGTTTTTACTTGACATTGAAGACCTTTTGAACTATACTTTAAATCCCACTGAGGAAGGAATAACCAGGTTTTGTTTCATTAAAACTCAAAATTTAGTATGATTTTTTGTAGCATGAATTTACATAAACATTTTTTATAGAGAACTATGTGAAGTTGATTTTTTTTTCAAATCAGACCATTCTTTTTAAACAATGTATTAGTTTGGTACACAAACTTTCACTCTTCTGAAGAACAAGCAAAATAAATCCAATTGTTTTTCTCATTTGGAAAGCTCCTACCAGCACATCAGTGAAATTATAACTCTCTCATACTAAAATTTGACATAGAAAACTGTAACATAACGTTATAACTTTTAATTATTGTGTTAAGGTTTTTACTAACAGTGCTTCCTTTTTGACTGTTGAGGATCCTAAATGAAATAGATAAAAAATGTGGAATATGTGAACAACCCTCTGAGATGATAGTTCTGAAATTTGTTGACACTTAACTGGAAAAGACTCGATTATTTCACTTTGTTGATGTGCCCTGTCTAACCTACAAGCTGTTTGCAAACTAGAGCATGAATATTTGTACGCGTGGTCACGGAAAATAACCAGGAACCTTAATTAAAGAGTTTTTCCGCAGTTCCTTGGCAACAAAAGATGAGTGAAAAACTTCTCCTTTTTATTTTATATTTTTTGACCTGAGTAAATAGTTCCTTTAAATATTTTCCTCCACTGAGTGGCATCTTTTTATTTTATTTTATTTTTTATCATTCTACAGGGGGTTAAATACCTGTGCATTCCAGCCGCGGATTCACCATCTCAAAACCTGTAAGTTGTTTTTTTTCCTATAATATTGGGAGATATTAAAAGTGAATAAAGGACTGTAAAGTCAAATGAGTAAAGGACTGTGAAGTCTCTGGAGCTGATGGGACCCTTGCTGCCACACAAAGCTGCTGCCCTGCAACGCTGTGAGGCCGCGGCAGTGTGCGCGACCGTGTGGGCAGTCCCATAGCTGCAGGCACGCTCCTTGTTTGCCAGTCCTCCCACTGTGCAGCACTGGCTAATGGGCGTCTATATGAAGAGTCTAATTTTTAAAAAGGACACCTCAAACCAAACCTATAGCATGTTCATCCTTTCTCTAGAGCTTCTTTAAAGCCTTAAAGAAGCTGTTGGGTTTTGTCTAAAGCAGCATGGTCGAATAGATATAGAATATGAGCCACAAATGCAAGCCACGCATGTAATTTTAAATGTTCTAGGAGCCACATTAAAACAAGTAGAAATGAAACAGGTGACAGTAATTTTAATAATATGCTTTATTTAACTCGATATATCCAAAATATTACCATTTCAGCATATGTTCAACATAAAAAAAAAATTGAGATATTTAACATCCATTTTTTCATCCTAAGTCTTCAAAATCTGGTTTGAGTTTTTACACTTACAGCGGTTTGGACCAGCTTCATCTCAAGTGCTCAACAGCTACAAGTGGCTAGTGGCCACCAAATGGGACAGTGTGCTTCTGCAGCCTCTCTGAGTTGAGTGAATAGGCCTTTCAGTTTAGGAAAGTGCAGTCCTCTATTTCCTCACAGCAGAATACATCTTTGATGCCATTTGAACTCTGTTTGTCCCTATAAAGAGAAATTCATAATTGCTCTTCTTTCCAGATGACAGCAGTTGTGTGGAGACTCATGGGACTGGGCTTTGGCAGAATGGGGGGCAGGGCTCTGGGGACCTTTACGGCTTTAACATTCACACTCTCTCATGTTCAGAAGTGACCCAGAAAGACTGTGACGTGGACTAAAGTGTTACTGAGGCATGGATTTGAACCTCACAGGCTGGGAGGCTGGGGTGGAAGAAGTCCTTAGCCATTCAGCGCATCCAGTGAACCCCAGCTCTGCTTCTCAGGCTGGCCTTGTGCTAGGTGTTGGAGGTCAGACACAACGACCCTCCTAGAGTTATATGTTACCGCATTTCATCAGGAAGGTTATAGGCTTTGGTGGTGTTTGCACACTGGGGAGTCCACAGGCTTGTGAGGATTCATCCTTCATGGTTCTCAAGCTCTCTTGCCTACAAATCCTACAGATCAGAAGTACAGACCACACAGTCTTCTGTCTGATACCCCAACTGTTCAGCCTCTCCGAAAGCTGTTGAATACCGGAACATCAGCCAACCTTGACTTTTCGCTGCTGGAGGGCAGAGGAATCACAGGTTATGCAATGATTTTGTGAGATCTCCCTGTTAGAAAAAAATGAGACTACAGTCAGATGGATTGATGTGGGGCAGAGTGGGGGTAGAGCAGGGGCCAGGAGTGTAGACTTAGACCAGGACAGGGAGGGGTGGGTTGGGAGGGGGCAAATAATTCTGCCAAGGACTGTGTTCCCACACCAGTTCTCCATATCTCACAGAAAAAGTCCGTTTTTAAGATTGAGGGTGGTGGAGGAGAGATTTTACTAGGATCACTAGGAAAACAGTAGTAGCCTGGGTCTGGAAGGAGGAGGAGAAGCACTAGAGAACTTCCTTGGTTACTAGTCGTGTCAAGAAACAGAAGTGGTTGGAAGGGCATGTGTGTACGGAAGGAAGTGAGCCACTGCCTTTCTCTGAAGACCATAGCAATCTTCTGCCTGTGTTTTGGTGGCTATTTTTAGAATGGTTGCTTTGCTCTTATCTCAAACTGAGATTCTAACATACCGTTGAACTTGTCAATACCTGATTGGCAATATGACTCTTTGGAAGAATCAGATTGTAGCACATTCTGGGCATTTGTTGTCAGGATGAATGGCCACGTGTCCTTGAGCTGCCTGCGGGACTTTTCAGCTTTCATTCAGCCAAGCACTGTGCTTGATGTCCAGGACAGCAACCCTGATTTACCGAGTGAGGATGAGTGTTGAGCAGTCTTGCACTAAATAGACAAAAAGGAAGTAGACCTAGATGTTAGATATCTTCGATTTAAAACCAGTTCCATCTACCTTGGGCAAGTCATTTTAACCCATCTGAACTTCAATTGTCTCTTCTGAAAAATGCCTGCCTTCAGGATTTTTGGGGATGAGATCACGTAGGTGGAAGTGTTCACTGTGAACTCACGCACTTTTGAAAATCCAAGTATATTTTACTGTACTCAAAGTATATTAATGTATTTTGAGTTAGAGAAAAGATAGTTGAAATAAGAAGTTTTGGTGCCCAGGAGGCCCACTTCAGTTACTTCGAAGATGTGCTTACGTGGAGAGATCAGGGTGACTGAGAATACAGCAGCTGCTTCTCTGTGTTCGTGTCTCGTGGGTCAATTCAAATCTTCTGGCAAAACCAGCCCAAACATAGTCACCTTGGGGCCAGAGGACCAGCCCTTAAGATTTGAATTAGTTCTCTCCTGTCCCAAATATGTACAGAGATGTGTGGTTTGCCTTTTAACCCTTTCTTTGTGTCTGGATGAAAGTAGGGGGTGGGTACCATGTTTCAATAGATAGTTAACACAGTATCCGTGTTTGGGGCAAATGACAGAAAGAACTTTCAGAGAATGGCAGAAGGAACATTGCTGCTATTTTGAGTGAAGTCCTACAACAGTACGACCTCTGTTTCAGTTGGAAAAGGAAGTCAAGACCATAATTCATCAAAAAGCAGAGAAGTCATGTTCATAGGCACTGGTATGATTCTTGGGGGAAACTTATTTTTAATCCATCAGTCATAGCAAAGTTTATGCATGAGTAAGGCTCCGGGCACGTAAATGTCCGTTATTCTAGCAGTATTTCCTGCTCTGCTGACATTCTGTGGAGATTGTGGAGTTAGGCTTGGAATCCAGGTGTACTTCGTATGCTGAGAAAGGGCCTGTGAAATAGCTTGACTTTCTCTTCACCTGTTACAAGGTGTTGCATTGGAAGGCATAACATGCCTTTTAAGGTGAGCATGCTTCGTGATATAATCAGACTATTGACGTTGGCAGGCGGCACACTCGACTGTTTTTATGACCTGCCTCACTTCAGGTAGCCTGTACTTGTTACTCACCAAACATCAGGAGCGTATGAAGGCTGACAGCGAACCTTCGCTTTCTGTATCATCAACCAATATAGATGGTCAGGAGACAAGCATTCTTAGTGCTCTGGTTAACAAAGCAAGAGAAATCATGTCTGTCACTTGGAAAATGTGCTCTAGGTAACCCAACAATTAAAACTAGTAGTTCTTTAGTCCAGCCGCTTTTAATTCCTGATGCCTGAGAGTTCCTGTATTTCATGACGAAATAAATTCTAGAAAACTATATTGCTTCTTGTTTTAAACTTAGTTACATATTTTTAAAATTATTTCCAATTTTGGGTATAATGTAAGGTTTTATATCCTAAATCTTTCCCAACAAATCCCTATACCAATGGGAATTCTTCTTGCTAATTATGCTTAGTAAGAGGTTTGTGACCTTTTGAGACTAACTGCTTTCACGTGGCATTCGGTTGCTGCTAACTGCCCAGGAAGGTCAGTTTTCTGTCTTGGCCTTAATCCTCACAAACCCTCCTTCTGACCTTCCAGAAATTTAAAATGCAGGAACCTGGGTGAGATAACATTAGTACCTTAAGATTTTAGCTCAGTTCCCCCAACCACCTTGCCTTGCAGAGTGAGGAAATGTGAAAGTTCAAGTTCTCAGAGTCATAATAACCCCACAGACCCAGGCTGGTTTGTTTTGCATGATTTCTCACAATTAGAGGCATCCTAGGGTTTGTATCAAATGCACACACTGCATGTTCCCTGCGTGGCTAATGTGGGGCGGGGTAGTGAATGAGGGCTTTTGGAAATACTTGCTTTTGCTTTCTCTCTGTGCTTTCTTAGGCAAGTCATTTCTCTCATCTGTAAAATACCTATCTCACACCATTTTTATAGTGAGATAAGTAAAAGTGTTTTTTATGAACACTAAGCATTTCCGAAAATAAGACTATACTTTCTGTGTGCACTCTGTAAGGAGTATTAATGTATTTTGAGAGTAAATGGTTGGATGTATAGTAGCTTACTTTATTCACTCATCTGAATATTTATTAAATTGGTATTTTGTGTTTAGACATTGTTAAGGGAATAATTCTCTCTCTCTGTCTTCTCCTCCTGTCACGTCCAGGAGAGTCTGGTCTGTGCTGTGGAGTTGGCAGCATTGCATCGGTACAGTGGAGCCTGTGTGACCTTCAGTGGTTTGAGAATCGAGCAGATCTCTAAATTTCTTGAGGTTTTTGTGGGGAGAAGAGGCATTAGCAATACAGAGAGTATTAAATACAGTATTTAATACTGATATTAAAATATCAGTGAAACTTCCTCGTCTTCATCTACCTTGCTGTCTCTGTGTGTGTTCTTTAGTGTAGCTGATGTCTTCTGTGCTTCTTGCTCTCTTTTTCTCTCATCTACATTTTTCTTTATTTTCATTATTTAAAAGTAGTTTTGCAAGATCAGAGGTGGGTGGGCCCTTGGAGTGCTACAATCCTGCTTCCAGACAGCGATGCACACACACGTGAGCATACACATGCATACACATACACATACACGCTCACACACGACTCCTGAGCACTCTGCAGCCCATAGAAATGAGGAATATGTAGAAAACGTGTATTGTGTTTTTCATAAGACTTTGCTTATTCAACTTAAAAACTATTTTTTAGTCTTAGACTATGTCGTCCTTGTTTTTTCTGTGTGTAACTATTCTTTGTAAAGTGAGGTTGTAGTAGACGGTAGAGAGGTTTTTTTCTTTCTTAGTTTGTTTTTAAAATGACCTATCTGGCAAAATGAAAAGTACAGTAAGCGTATTCCCTCAATTTTTAAAAAATGTCGACAGTACAGGAAATATAAATGTTGGGGACTTGCTGATGGAAATGTTCGTTCTGTGTGTTCAGTGCTGCACGCTGATGGAGCAGCCATACCCGTGTCTGTGCGGTGGAGGACACTCCTTTGTGCTTGCTTCAGGAGGCAAGAGCGGCACAGGCAGTGTTCCAGCTGCAGAGCCTGGACAGAGTGGGGCCTGGCCTGATTCTGCCCCCGGAGGAGGCAGCTCTCTGGTCTCCACCCCCTAGAGCCTGGGCTCACATAGAACATTTCACCCATTTGCCTTTTTTTTTAAGCATTCCTTTCTGAGGAAAAAATTCTAAGGGTACTTGCCTTTCCTGGTTTTTTTCTCCTTTGCTTTCATATATATATACACACACAGATGCACACGTGTGCACATACGTACACACATTTCCATACTCTGTTGAGGGGAAGGAGAAGCATCCTGGATCTTGTGGCTTTTGCTGTCAGTACAGCCTGGTCTGGTCCCGCTGGCTTTGGGGTAAGCCCAGCTGCCCTTCCAGGCACGTGGCCAGATCTCTGGGCTCCTGTTGAGACAAGCAGAGTTCTTTCCAGCAGGACAGGACTGCCTCAGATGCCACAGTGGGGGTCACAGCCTCCGAATCTTGCAGGCTTGGAGTAAGAAGTAATGGTTCAGCCTCAAAAAATGAGCATCGTGTGATGTGGTTTTGCTAGATCCATCCACCATCCTTTCTGCGAACTCTCTGAAGCTCAGGAAAACCTGGCTGGTCCTGGCTGTCGGCCTCTGGTTGGAGGGAGGGAGGGGTTGGGGCACACTGATCACTGAGGAGAGCCAGCACAGACGGAGGAGGAGGGACAGTGGCAGCGCCAGCTCTGCTGTGCCCCTGGGAGGGCGTCTCTCATCCGAGTGCCTCTTGCCGGGGTGTTCTCTGGGGGTCGGCAACAGCAGGCACTGTGGGGTGAGTTTGTGACATGCGTATAGGTCATGCTTCCTTCTGGATGAGCCCGGCGGGCTTTCCTTGGACAGACCTCACACCACATGTCTTCATATGGAAGTAGAGGTACAAGGTGAAAAGAAACAGAACGAAGAGTAGAATAGGGAACCTGCTGTCTTCATTGAAACAGCTTGTGGTGGATGGGGCTTCAGATTTGCTTCTGCTTCACGTTGGCGAGTTGAGCAATGTGAGGCCCAGAGCCGCGGGTATTTCCCACTGTGGAGGAGGGAGTTTAATGACCAGGGCTTGGGCTTATGTCATTAGCTTCCCTGGAAATAACCCCCACTCCCTGCAACGCACCGAAGCAGTCGTGAGTGCGCCTGCCTCCTGGCTGTTCTTGGAAAAGGCATTTCTAGGAATGTCTGCCTGGCTTGGCCTCGAGCCCAGTTGTGTTCATGAGTCAAGTTTCGTGGTGGGGCTCTGAGCCGTCCCTTTGTTGGCTTATCGTTATGCTCCTAAGCCAGGGCCATGAGCAGCCCTCTCACAGATGCCTGCCCTGGGGCTCCACAGCCCTTGCCCCATCACAGTGGTCGACAGGAGCTGTCCATGGGTTTATTCTGGACTTAGCGCTTGATGCAGACAGAGCTGAGAGAGGGAAGAGCCGCCGGGGGGTGGGGGAGGCACATCTCACGACTTCCCTGGCTCCTCAGCTCCTTCACACACTCACTCTGGACTTGGCAGGTCTGGATGTTGCCCTGCTGACCACACCCCCACCCCCACTCTCTTTTCGAGATGTGGCAAGGCTGACTACACAACGTCTAAGACTCGGGTTTCATCCTACATGTAATTTACGACATGCAGGTGAAAAGCCAGATATAAGAAGTTGTTTCCACTCTCAGGTTTCAGTAAAGGGATTCAGTGATCATCTTTGCAAGATCTTGGTGAGCTCCACAGCACCAACCATGTTCCTAAGACACCAAGTCCTGTCCGCCTGGAGGAGACTGCTAGCTTTCATGCCACCGGTGCCTGCGCGTTGTGCTCGGAGGCTGCCTGTGGTTTGCTCACTGACTCAGGCGGCTATCGTTCGTTTCTAGATTCGCTTTTCCTTTTCTGGTTGCTGTGTTCTTCCCTGCCTGTCTTGTCTCAGATGCAGCTCTCCTCGAACAGAAGCAGATCCACAAAGGACAGGCAGGAACATGGGCTGCAAGCGTGGAGAGGGCCCCAGGGTGGCCAGCCCAGTGGACAAAGGCATGTGCCCTCCAGCCGCACCCCTCAGCTGCTGGCCTACAGTCAGGGGTGAGCCCTGGGTTCTGGACAGCCTGGCCTGGCCCTGGGGTCTACAGTCAAACTCCCCCCCGCCCCCAGCCTGTCTGCCTTATGCGGTGGCCTGCGGAGGGGGACAGGAAGCAGACTGCAGATGGGCAGCCTGGAGCCACTCCTAGCCCAGGTCAGTTGGCTCAGTGTTTTTAAAACTGTTGAATTAGTTGCTGGCATCAGGTAGATTGTATTTGGCTATAAGTAACAGAATATCTGATGGACAGTGTTTTAAGTTATAAAGACATTTATTTACTTAACTCCGTGACCATGAAGCCTGGAGGCAGGTGGTCCCAGGCCTGAGCAGCAGCTCCTTGATGTCCTCCCTACCATCCTGCTCCCCTTCCACCCTGGGGCCATCACCCGTGCTTCCAGAGTGGCTGATGCAGCTCTCAGCAGGACGCTCCCTGACAGTTCCCTGGCAAGACTGGAACGGAGATAAACAACTTGCTTTTAATCAGAAAGGGAAAACATTTCCAGAAGCCCCCACCCCACTGCCTCCCCTGTACTCTCCAGGGCTGGAGCTGGAGGGAAGGTGGGACATCCTGAGAGTCTGGGCACTTTGCTGCCCCAAACAAAATCACGGCTGAAGATGTCTGCCAGGTTTCAATACTTCAGAATCAGAAGTCTTCATGCAAACTCCAGGTTGCTGGTTTCCCTCAAGACGGAAGCTCTAACGGCACCAAGCCTTCTCTCTTGCCTGCAGCGCCTTGCCCTGGGGCTGGGCTTCTGCGGGTCACATCCCCCGTGCCCACACCCCTCCACCCCTTGGTATGCTCAGCTCACTGCCGGCTTCCGTGGGTGTCTGCTTCACCACCCTGTTGTGAGGACTCTTTCAGGACCAACACTTCAGATCTCAGGTCACAGCTGGAGTCTTGTCTTGCCTGCTTTATGCCAACCCAGTGTTGGGGAGTAAAGTTGCAGTGCCCCAAGTCACTTTTATAAGTTTCCATCGAAAACATTTGTCCCTAGGAAACTTAGCAGAAGCACGTCTTGCAGTGTTCTGGTAGGCAGAGATTTCAGGGAAGAGCCTGGAGTCCTTGGGCTGGACCCTAGGACTGTGCACGTGTGCTGATGCCATGCCTTGTGTTTGCTGCAGCGGTGTGCACGTGCACACTGACAATTTCCTCTGTTGCCTGCCTGACCTAATGCAGCTGGGCACCCACCCCTGGGTTGCTGAGTTTCTTCTTCAGTCAGTACCTGGCTGAGTTTGCTTTGCCACACCTGCATTTCCCATTCTTATTAAGTTCATTTGCCCCATCATCCCTCATGAGACAGTAGACCTAGTTTGTGCAGTAGGGACTTACGTCTTATTCATCTCTGAATCTATCGCAGCTTAGCAGAGTCCCCATAGATAGTCAGTACTCAATCAGTGTTAAAGAGAGGTGAATTTAGTCCATGGGCAACTTAGATATTTTGCTGCTTTATAAGCCATTCAAAGGTAGGAGACATCGGAAAGCACATACGTGCTCTGTAGGTCCTCTCGGAGTATTTGTGCTTAACCCACCGGCCGGTCCAGAACCCGCCAGGTGCTGGTCCTCACATGCTACATGAACAGGAGATGGGAGAAAGGGGCGGTCAGAAGAAGGAAGGGTCATGGTTCCATCGTCTTATAGGACTTTGGACTTTGCAGAGCATCCAGGCTTGCATTACCTTGCCCCACCTGTAAGACCTTATTCCCTTTATAAGTGAAGTTAAGGGAAGATAAGTGACTTTCCCGAGGGCACACAGCCAGTCTGTGGCCAAGCAGGGGTCAGAGCTGCCATTTCCATTTCCCCACGGCTCTTTGATGACGTGCAGACAGGACCTACCGAAGTCAAGGGAGACCGAGATGGGAGCGTATTACTAGGTTTTTCGATTGTCAGAGGTAAACTGGCTTTTAGGACTTGGGGAGCCCACATGATGTGGGCACCTTCCTCACCTGGATGGCTGTGACTGTTCGAAGCTGGTGCATGGGTCATCGATGTGGGGTCACTGGTGTGCTGCTGAGTGTTGAGGAGCCCAGACTGACCGCAGGGATGGGTAGACCACCCCCTGCCAAGTCAGTGGCAACTGTGTGTTTCAGGGATTCCTTGCAGAGAAATTCTGAAAATCCCAGAAGATGGGCAGCCCCCACCCCAGGCCCCCATGTGACAAATTCTACAGCTTAGGCAGCTCTGGCCCCAGACGGTGTGACCAGGGTTTTGAAGCTGTGGGAGTCGGAGACCTTTTCAAGAAACCTCAGGCGGATTTTTCTTTTCATCATATGTTGAGTAAAGTAGAGAGATGTCACTTCTCTCTTTTTTTCTCCCCCAGGACAAGACATTTCAAAGAGAGTATTAAATTCATTCACGAGTGCCGACTCAGGGGTGAGGGCTGTCTTGTACACTGGTACGTATGCCTCCTGCCTAATAATAGCTTCACGTGTTCTGCTCAGCTTGATTTCTCATCACGTGTTTTTCTGTGTGATTAATTATTTCATCTCTTAATAGTTTTCTCTACCCTCTGAATCTTGAGCACACACCCTCCCTGACCCCTGCTGTCTATTAGTCATTGTTTGCTCTTGTTGAAAGAGAACCCTACTTTTTTTTTCATTTTCATTTAGAATTTTCATTTTTACAGTTAGGACTTCTGTAGGGCCTGTGGAGGTTACTGGACGACAGAAGCTCCTTTCCCAGCCTCCCTCTGATGTTCCACCGCAGCAGCCCCTCCCACGGGGCGCGGGTTCTGTAGCTCATCCCTGGAACCCCAGTGGCCTTTCAGAACGCTGTTTTTTTCTGGAGAATTTTGATCACATATGTGGGTGTTTGCACTGCATTACTGTAGCACCAAAATAACCATTTCTTCTCCATTTACAGATTGAGGCTTTTATGTGTATTTGGCTTACTACTTTGTTTTGAAAAGATCTGAATAGGCTCTTAGATTAAACAGTTTACATACAGCTATTACATACAGCATTCAGCTGTACTCTGGGCGTGTGGATATATATATGCATATGCACGTCTACACACACTGTTATAACACACATAACCCGAGGCCAGCTCACGGGAGGCTCTCAGCTCCGCACCCGGCACATCGTGAGCTCTCGGTGGATGTCGGCTCTCATGTTTATTGCCAGGTGTGTTCATACTAATAACATAATGTGACCCAGCGACCAGCATTCTGGAGCCAGGGCTCTGCTGTCTGTTAAAGTGCAGGCTGGACAAGTCCTCTCTCTATCTTGAATGAGGCTTGATCTTAATTAACTGAAAGCTTAATCTTTTGAGTTCCCTCAGAGAAGTTGCTAATGCAGTGAAGGCTCTCTGGAAATGCAAAGCGATGTCTTCTGGGGAGTGTTGCAGCTAAGATTGGTGGCAGTCCTGCCATGGCAGAGGGGACCCATTGCATGGTATCCAGAAGAGCCTTTCATTTATTCTAAGGGCCAGTAACCAGTAATGGGGGACCAGGGACACTGGATAGTTTGCTGTAAAAATAGTGTTCTGCAGTTTTATACAGTTCTTGAAATAGTGTGATTTTTCCAAAAGTAAAAACTTTTAAAAAGAGTAGAACATATGATAAATACCAATTGCAGGTTTTGTAATGTTCATTTTCATTTGCTTTAAAGCACTTTGGGGGGTGCAGTTGAAGCCCTTTGGCAGGGAGTCCTGAGATCCCGTGCACGCGCTTCTACGGCTCCTGGTGAATTGGAATCTTCAGGAGGATGTATTTCCTAAAAGCTCTCTCAGTATTTCTGATATAAAGCCCTAGGGAAGAGCCACTACTTGAGAGTGTTTTATTATTATTATTATTATTATTATTATTATTATTATTTATATTTGAATATGTGTAGGCCTGATAGTCTAGGAATTCGTATTTCATACAGTTGTATAAATCTGAAGATAGGCTCGTCTAAAAATGAGAAATCGGCTAAACTTCCCCGTCTTAAACCGTTGCTAGAACACTCTAAGTCTGACACAGCATAGCCTTTCTGTGACCACCTTAATTTGCATATGCATTTAAAATTGGTCCCCTTACTCAGCCTGCTAGAGATCAGCAACCGTTGCTGCCTGCAGAGTGGCCACCTCGACCTGCATCTCAGAGCATACCACGTGTGCCCACGCTGGTGCTCTGTTTAGTTAGGTCAAGAAGAACACAAAATATTTGGTAAGGGTTTCTGTATTTAATCGTTTTTTGAGTTATAGATTTAGCTCTCAGATATCTAAGAAAACCAGACTTTTAAAAACGTGAAGGCTTCTCAGCTGCTGCAGGTTCTGAATGGATTTATTGCCTAGATCCAGGACCCCTCAGTTACCTTGCTGTGCTTTCGTAATTTTATCTGTCTGAGAAAATGGAGAATATCTGAAGAAAGACTCAGGAGCGGTACAGAATTGTGAAACTGAAGTGCCCAGAGCCATAGGCAGTAGAAAATCAATAAAAAATGAGGCTAACACAGGTAAAGAATGCCTGAGATTTGAGTGTAATAAAGTAGAGAGAAGCCTGCATGTTTCTGAGTAATTTCCTAGTGACATACTGGCTTGCTGTCCACTCATAATCCAAGGCATAATCTCTAGCAGAAATCCAAGACTTTCTAAAGTGAGGTCCACAGAATCCCCTGCTCCACAATGGATTGGGAGATAGACCTGTGGACCCTGAACCTCCCTTGCCTGTGTGGCGTTCTCTCGGCCCTGCAGCCTGGCCGGCGTCTCCAGGAGCGTGACTCTGGTGATCGCGTACATCATGACCGTCACCGACTTTGGTTGGGAAGACGCCCTGCACACTGTGCGTGCAGGGAGGTCCTGTGCCAACCCCAACCCGGGCTTCCAGAGGCAGCTCCAGGAGTTCGAGAAGCGTGAAGTCCACCAGGTAACCATGCTCGGGGACTTTGGTGACGTAGGCAGCAGCCCCGGAGGAGATGTCTCAGTCCTTCTGTACACACCTAGAATCATGGAGACTGGAGTTGGAAAGACCCACAGAGGTCGTCTGGTCCAAAGACGCCCAGCCTGCGTCCCCCCTGCAGTGGTCACTGGTCCATTGTTCACCAGGTGCGGCCACAGGACATTACCCCTGATCCTCTTCCTTAGGCCCTGTGTTAGCTTCTGTTTCTTTCCCTTTGGGTCAAGTGCCATTTTCTGGGTTTGGCTTGCTTTCGTGTCCTCAGGCCAAAGCCTTGAAAAAGCAGTCATTTCTCTTGCTTGACCCTGTCTGTCCAACCACAGAACTATGATTGCCCAATGCCCATTTATTTCCCTGTTTATATGTGGCCAAATCAGTACCAATAAGTAATAGGTGAAATGTCTACGGGGATGCAGGGGTGTGTGTGACATTTTGGTTTTGTTTCCAACTCCTCCAGTACCGGCAGTGGCTAAAGGAAGAATATGGAGAGAGCCCTTTGCAGGATGTGGAAGAAGCCAAAAACATTCTGGGTAAATATAAAGAGCAAGGGCACATGGAGTCCCGGCCTGGCACGAGGCAGTGGAGCAGCTTTCAGGCTCTGCCTCCACTGGCCTTCAGCAACTACACGACGGAGACCTAATGCAGAGCCATCTGGTGCCTGCCATTCCCGCCGCTTGTCTTCAGGGTATTCCTGCCGGGTGCCCTGGTGTGCTGGCTGCCACCTCGGAGGCCAGGAAAGGGAGCGTGGCGAAGGTGGTTCCTTCCCCAGACCCCCCAGCCCTGCCCCAGACCCCTTCACTCGCCCACCCCTGCCCCACCTGAGCTTGCTGCACTGCTGCCTGGCGCCTCCGTGTATGCACACGTGTGTGAGTGTGTAAGCTCTGAATGTTCACGTTGCTAGAACAGTCACAAAATCCATGCTGTCAGGATTAGTATCGCCACCTTTCCCTTCGTCCAAGACTCCGCATGCGAGGCATTTGAAGTTGACGTCCGAAAAGCTACTCAGCCAGAAGCAGCCTGTGCCTGTGAGCAGACAGTGAGGAGAACTCAGGAGGCTGAGCAGCTGAGAGCCGCGGCCTTCCCCAGAACCCAGGGTGGTCATGGCAGGGGAGCAGGAGGCCAGGCTCCCACCTGAAGGTAGTTCCAGGGGCCCTGGAAGGAGGGGTGCTCTAAGCATTGCCTCCGTCTTAATGAAAGTGCCCCAGCCCATGGCTCCCTGCTGCCTCAAGCCAAGGCCTCCTTTTCAGCCCATCATGCCCTCTCTTGGTGTTTGTTCTCTGTGGCACTGGCTGCATTTTGGTTCCACGGGGAGCACTGCCTCTTCAGCCAAAGCTATGTGCCCAGAGCACTCTTCCTTCCCCCTCCTGTCCCGCTTCACTGCTCTAGCCTCCCACTGTTGTCATTCTGCAGGCGTGTCTTGGCAGGGTTTGCATGCACCCTCAGGAGCTGGGAAGAAAGAGCGTTTATTAGGCACTGTAGCAGTTTGCATTAAAGATACATTTAAAAATGCCTGAGCACTCATCAAGCACCTTTGTGTATGCTGTGGATTTCATATTTGATCTCAGCTACCTCATTAAATATTTTTTGGAAAGGTATTTTTCGTTATTCCAATCAACTCTGCCTCATAGTTGAAAATGTTTGGTCATGATTGCTTTTGAAGCCAAAGGGAGAAGCATCATTGAGCTGTTTAAGGGATCTGATTTGGGCTCCAATAATGCTTTCTGGTGGGTAAAATTCTGCATTCACACCAAGGCCAGCAGGCCAGGAGAGCATCTGCAGTTCACAGCTTGGGCAGCAGGCACCCTGGATGCTGTGAGCAGCTCTGTGGTCCATTCCTCTCTACCAAGTCAGGTGGTTTAAGCACACAGAGCCACAAGAATGAAAAAATATACTCGACCTCTCCCTAAAAACATGTTGCAACCCAGTTTTTCCAAATTCCACCACAAAAAGAGCCCCTAAATAAGAAGAGCAGTTTTCCTGTGCTTGTAGAGGGTGTGTCACAGGTGAGCTCTTTGGGGACCGGGGAGAATGAAGCTGCCTGAGTCTACACTCACACACAGGCCCCAGACATACAGTGAGAAAGGGAAATGTGCCCACAGAAATATCCATCTACAGCTGAAACAATTTCCCTTTAAAGTACATTTTTTTCCTTAAACCAAAATGAAATGTAAATATGTTAACATAAAAAGTATTTAGGGTATCAGCTTGAATGCTTAAATGTGTGTACATCTCTGAACATCTAGATGTACGCCTGCAGGTCCTGAAATGTTGTTTTAGTATTTGCTGCCAGTGATGTTCTTTCTCCACAGCCCCTCCGGGAATTCTGAAGTCCTGGGCCTTTCTCAGAAGACTGTAATGTACCTGAAGTTTCTGAAATGTTGCAAAGCCACAGAGTTTAGGCTGGTGCTGCCAAAAGAAAAGCAACCCAGTGTTGATTTTCAAGTATCCAGAAGTGATTTGTAAACTTGTTTTTCAATTTAAACTGAATACGTGTGTAACTGTGGTGTTATATGCTGAGAACTAAGGATACTCTTTAGCAAGATAAAATATTTTTACCTTAATTTCACTCCCGCAGTTATTTTTTTAACATGAACCTGAACACCTATAAAGGCCTATAAAGCAGCCTCCGGGCCGGCTGCACTGGTTTGGTTACTGTTTCCTGATCAAGATTGCTCTCATGAGGCTCTGCAGCGTAAACTCTGCTCGTGTGCTCTTCAATTCCCCGGTTTGGGAAACAGCTCTTGGGCTGTGTTTTATCCATGGTTTGTATTCTCCCCGGTGGCATTTACCAAATCCACACATTTTTGTTGATACAGGGCAACTTAGCCACGTTGAGCTTTGTCGCAGAGTGCTCTTCCTTGGCTGAGCTGTGGGCGTGTTTCTGCCTCCAAGGGTCCTGAAGCAGGTTTGGAGCTGCTCCCCCAGCAGTCATGCTGCTTTCTTCTTAGAGGCTGTTGTTTTCCTCCAGAAGGTAGTGCAGTGGACACTAGGAAATGTGAATTAATTTCTCCACGAGAGAAAAATTGATCCTCAGTGTGAGCAGAGAGAAATCGGAAATTGGAGTTATGTTTTGCCTGCACGATGTGGGTAGTGAGTATTCGGCACCCCTGGTCAGGCAGTAATCCCCTACTGCCTTACCACGGGGGTGTGCATCCCAGGTCCCCCTTTAACATGTGCTGCACGTTGTTGAATGCAGTTCTTCTGATTCCAGGTTCAACTTTTAATTTGAAGGAACACAAACTGACTTGAGGAGCAATTTAAGTCGATTTCCTAAATTTTCCTTGTCTAAACACAGGGGGAGGAAGGAAATTTAACTTTTTACTTCAAAGATAGGTTTGGCTTGAACTAAAGGCAGGTAAGCGCAGGAGCTAATATACTTGGGCCCTTTGACTATAGGTGGTGGGCTTGACATAGATTCTGAGTTCATGTTTCTGATGCCTGGAAGCTCCTGGCAGGGGGCTCAGGGGAGGGGCTGGGAGCTGTGTATTGGGGCAGAGAGGACGCTGTGTGCTGGCAGCAGCCCCTGATGGGTGTGAGATGATATGCACTGATGAGTTTGGGGCATTAAAATGCTTATTCTGACTTAACAGGCTCGCCTGGGTGTAGCACAGATAATCTGGTTGTAGACGCCTCTGAGTCCCCCCCGTGCGCCAGACTTGCAGCCGCGAGCTGTCTCCCGTGTCCCACCTGTGAGGACGTGCTGGAACCTTGTCTCCGGAGACTCAGGAGCAGCCGCCAAGTCCGAGTGCAGAGCCTCTGGACAGCCGCGCCGTGTAGAGCAGGAGGGGACAGCACTAGGAAAGGAGCTGTTCTGGCCACAATCCATTAGGGTCCCCATCCCTCGCTGCCTGCCATCCTTCCCTGTCCACCTCTTCTTGCTGCAGGACCAGATCTGGCACCAAGAATAATCGCCTAGTAATTGGTGCTCTGCAGGTCCCTCACTATCACCCCGACTCGAGGCTCAGAGAGGCCAAGAAACACACCAAAAATTAAACCTGTTAGCATTGCTTTGCTGGAACCCAGATCTTAATCTTATGTCATTGGGCAGGGTGAGAGAGAGCGGCTGGGCCGCCGGGCTTGCACTTCGAGGGGAGTGAGGCTCACTGCAGCAAGCTGCCAGGCTTTGAAGCCAGAACCTCTGTTTGGCTGCTTCCCCCCAGTCTCTCTGGGGACTTTGTTTGGGGCCATCGTGGGGTGGTGGTCGATTCCTGTCTGCTCTGGAAGCTCACGGACATTTCTGTTAAGATGGTATTGCCCGTGCTGAGATGTTCGAGGCAGAGGCCGCTTCTCTGTCCATGACCAGCCCAGGTGTTTGGAGTCACCCCGGAGATGAGGATGGTGGACTCTATCCACCTCGAGGGCCTTGGCTTGTTGGATGAGGTGCGTGGCCCAGGGCAGTTTTCTTAGGCTATTTTTTCTGTGATTTTCTTTGAACACAGATCTGTTCTAGCCTGGAACTTAGAATCATGCCTACAATGAAGGAGTTAACTGGCCACCTGTACTTACCTCCACTCTGTTCAGTTCTTTGCTCCTTCCCTTGACAAGTGCGTATTCATCAGAGCAGGTGTCTGGGCTTCGGGCAGATGCACAGACATGCTCCTGATTTCCAGAGAGACTGCCGCTCGGTGGGGTTGGCAGTTAGGAAGATTGGCAGGTACAGAGCAGGTCATAGGACGGGCACAGGTGCTCTCAGTGCTGTGTGGGGGGGGAATGGAAAAACACCATTCCATTTTTGGGGTGAGGAAGGTGGTGTTCAAGGGAGGCATCTCAGACAAAGTGGTACCTATCAGAGACCTGAAGTGTAAGTGCTAGAATTAGCTGGGCTCAGAGGGAGGAGGGGGGTCCAGCAGAGGCCCTGCACGTATGTGGTGGCACAAGAGAGCACAGCGTGCTGGGGTCAACTTTGTATGACCAGAGCGAACACCAAGGGTGGGCAGTGAGGTGAGTGGTGCAGACGAAGCTGCAGACACAAGCTGAGGCCCATCAGCCAGGTTGTTATCATCGTGGCCTGTTACTGTGTGCCCAGGACCTGTTGTACAGAAACTGATTACTTCTTTTTTTTTCCCTTTTTTGTGAGGAAGATCGGCCCTGAGCTAACATCCATGCCAATCCTCCTCTTTTTGCTGAGAAAGACTGGCCCTGGGCTAACATCTATGCCCATTTTCCTCCACTTTATGTGGGACACCACCACAGCACGGCCTGACAAGTGGCGCGTCGGTGCATGCCCGGGATCCGAACCTGGGCTGCCAGCAGCGGAGCGCACGCACTTAACCGCTACGCCACGGGACCGGCCCCAACCCTGGTTACTTCTTACACCAGCCCTTGGAGCAACCGAGACTCAGAAGTCAGGGGCCCTGCCAGCTTCCCAGAGGTCTGATTCCCAAGCTTGGAGCCTTGTAAGCAGTGTGGACACCGTCTGTGGACGTGAAGTCGGGGGTAGGGAGCCAGCTGGGCAAGCAGGCACCGTGATCTGTGCGGGTGGAGAAGGGGCCGTTACAGCCGGCCAGGTGACAGAAGCTGGTGCCCTGAACAGGGCCGTGACGTGGGGATGAAGAGGGGCCACGGAGGCAGGTGCACTTGAGGGAGGCTGGGGAGGGAGAAGCAGGGACTCTTGGTGCTGGGTGGAATGTGGAGCAGTGAGGGCTCAGTGGCCTTGCCACGCTCTGAATCTTGCTTCCAACACAATGGTTCTTTGTATCAGCATCTTCCTGCACCGTGATAGTAGTATGTGGGCTCTGCAATGTCAAGGTTAGATTTTAGGGGACTGCTAGACCCAGGGTCTCCAAGGGGTTTGTCCATGGGTGCTCAAGTGTGTCCATGCACCCAGAACAGGCTCCTAGGAACCAGACTCAGGACAATTAATATAGAATTCAAATGTCCAATTTCTTAATTTATTGTGAAAAATATAATATTAGCTTTATGAAGACTAATTTTATTACCTAGCCAGGCTGTCTCTTTCATTATCAAGATTTTTGGAAATCAATACATTGTACACCTTAAATTTACACAATGTTATATGTCAATTATATCTCAATAAAGCTGAAAAAAGGAGTAAAACATCTTTTAAATCATAAAAAAGAAAAAAGATTTTTGGGAGGCCAGATTAGTCCCTGGGCGTTGTGCTGAGAGCATGGACATGGAGCTGAGAGCTGAGGGGGCCCCGCTCTGGCGTGTCCACGGTTGGAGTGCTGTAGCCATGGCACACTCGAGCAGCGTCTCTACCGGCCTACAGTCTCTCCCAGCTGAGCAAGGCTCCTGCTGGCCCCCTGGAGTCCTTTCCTGGGTCCTGGGCAGACCATCCTGTTAATGGCTGTCTCTGCCCAGGGTGATTGTTTGACTGAAATCACGTTTTTCTGAGCACCTTCATTAACCTTGGGTGTCCTTGCGTGTCCTCGACAGCATTTATGCTTTTCCGTGAGGATGGTTTCCCACCAGTGGCTTTTTTAATTTATTGGGCACTGGTTCTTTCTAGTTTCTGTTTCAGCAGGGAGCCCCACTTCCAGCTTCTGGGGCTTTTCATGTTGCAAAGACATAGGTACATGAAGACAGCCTATAAGTGTGGTGACTGGTGTGCAGCGTGTGTGCACACACAGCCGT